AATTAACTCTACGGAGCAGGGTTCTCGGGAATCTAAAAGTTACACAGCAAGCCAATAAAAAACCCTCATTTTATGAAAACCAAAAGATCATTATCGTGTTTGAAAAATCCCACAACTATTCCCTACCCTAAATCCCGTCCAAACGATCATCCTATTTTTAATAGCTTCCAATTTATATCTTGGTCTTCCAAGCCGTCTCTTCCCTATTGGGATTTCCGACTAAAATAGCGTGTCCATATAATCTTTCCCATTCGTGCTATGAACCCCGTCAATCTTACTCACCTTGCAGTTTTTAAACAGCTGTCACTTACATTACTAATACAACCAACATCTAGTTCCCATTAATCAGAACGCTGTAATGTTTAGTGATAATGATTATTCTTGCTTGGCTACAAACATAAACAATTCGCCACTATGAAAGAGAAAACACAGCAGTTGAGTTTTAGACTATTAACCAGAGGCCAAATCAACACGTCGATATACAAAATTTCATGTTGCAAAACACGTAATTAGTCCATAAGGCTTATTGATATCTGAAAGCCATTTCACTGTCGTCACTGCTGTTAACAGTCTTACTTATAAGGCCACTCGATGGCCTACTTCAAGTTAGGCAGTTGATGAATTTCCACATTCCTTATTATGGAACGATCCCTGTAGAGGCTGCGTGTTCCCAGAATATAAGTTTTAAACAAGTGCCGCAATGTGAGAACAGGTTCTAGACTAACTACGTTTTGGAAAGCACTAATTAAAATTAATAATTCATGTTCTTAATTAGTTACCAGAAACCTTCTGATGTATTTGAGCTATAAAATAAGTCATTCCTTTACATAGTTATCAGAATTATAGAGCTCTACTGCAGAATCAACACATCATCAAAGAAGCTGTAATAAAATCAAGTAAATCTCCTCTCTTCCAAAACACAAGCTTCATGACACACTCAAGTTTTCAGTCAAGATATTTCTAATGATGGAAACGTGTACAATGCATACTTTTCTTGGCCATTGACCTTTATATATTTTTTGTAGTATCCTAATAACGAGTTTTTAACAATTATGTTCTGAAAGAGGATACGATAAAACTGTCTAGAGGTTGTTCTTTTTTATAGCACAGTGTTGTTAATCCTGAAGGAGAGTTATCACCCGAGGAGACCATTTGTATCCATGTCACGTGCATCGAAGCAGGGTACTAAATAAAACTTGGATTACATTAGCCCATGTATACTATTAATCTGTCGAATAACATCGAACAAGAACAGCGCTGACTTTGTATTATTTAGACCTATATAGGCCATACATGACGTATGTGTGTATAAATTATTTTTATCGTCCTCTCTATAACAGAACATGTTATTTATAAGAAAATACACATAC